GAAGGTAAGTGCTAACGTGCGTCCACACCGCAAAATGCGCACGTTCCATGGATCGCGAGCTGGGATCGCTACCAACTCCGCTACCAACTAAAATTGCGGGGCTTGAAGGTGCACGAGAAAAAACATGGCGGCAATAACATGTTGATCCGGGTTGTTCTACTCTCCGTGCAATTTACGAGTATGCGCCAGCGCTTGGGCCAAACGGCGGCGGGCCCTGCTATTTGAGTGAGGAGTGAAAGGAGGGGGGGAGATGAAGGAGGTGGAGGAGGAGGAAGAGGAGGAGGAGGAGGAGGAGGAGGAAGGGGGAAAACACACCAGGAGGAGGGGAAAGGAGAGAGGGAGGGGGAGGGAAGGGGGAGGAGGAAGAACCCCCCGCCCTCCCCTATCCAGCTCCCGCACCCTGCAGGAGTTTCCTCGCTCCTCCGACACTCGGAGGCGGGCCAAAGTGGTTGAGGCAACGGCGGCGCTCCCGCCTGGCCCAAATTCCGCTCAAAATCGGTTCCCCGACCCGTCCTGGGGTCCATCCTGGCTCGGCTTCAAAAGCGAATCCAGCCTTGGCGACGAGAGGCCTCCAGGAGGCCTAAAAAGGAGATACACCAAAAGAGCTGCCATAGAGGGCTGCCATCGTCTCGATTGACCCTTCTCCGACTGCATTGGCTTCCTCATTTCTCTACCACCCTCCTCATTCCCCCTCCATGTCTGCCTCCTCTTTTCTGCTACGTAGGGTGGCCAGGCACATAACTTCTTGAAAGCACTCCCGAGGCCTTTCCCTGAGTTCCGCCTCCACCGCGTCGCGATTCTCCACTGCCTTTGCCGCCCTCCGCTCCCTGTTGACCTTCGCCGCGAGTCCATTGTTCACCTGGTGGCGGTCCTTTTCATCCTGCTGATGCTCCTCCTTTATTTGACAAGATCTGGCGCGCTCGGCTGTGATGTCCAGGCGAAAGCTCCAGATAAGTAGGGCGGGGGGAGGGGTGGCGGCATCAACACGGTGGTTGTAGTACTGGTGTCGACGACGGTAGGGCCTTCTTTGATCGAGCACGCACTTTATGGGGCGAACCCCAAACCATGAGGCCCAAGTCCTCCTCCTCATCATCATCATCCTCCTCCTCCGTGTCCTGATCCTCCTCCTCTTCCTCCTCCTTCCTCTTTTTGCCTCAGCGGGTCGCGCCGCGGGCGCCGACCGGTGCACCATCCGCGCACGGGCGGAAACGGACGCGGGAGCATGCGTAAGGCGTGCCGGAACGCGAGGGCGAGGGCGGGGGAGAGAGGCGCCAGAAGGCGCTCGCGGGGACGCCCGGCCCGAAGGCACAGGGGGGAAGCATGGGAGGTAGCGAGAGGGAGCAGCCAGGAGCGGAGTGGAGCCGAAGCGAAGCAGGGGCAGGGGAGGAGGAGCGAGCAAGAACGGAAAAATAATCACTAAAACACGCAAGAGAGGGGAGGCGGGGGAGGGGGGAAAAGGGGGGAAGGAAGGGCAGGGCGGGAGGGAGGCAGGGCACGAGCCCAGAAGCAGGAGGACCCGAACGGACGCGAACGCGACGCCCGACCGGGGGCAAGAGCGACAGCGCAGAGGGCGACAACGGCGACGGCGCCCGACCCCCCTCTGCCTCCGGTGGGAGCTGCCAGCCCCCCCCCCCCCGCCCCAACCAGCGGACTTCGCCGCCGGGGCGCGCGTGGAGGGTGGGGATGCCAGCCGTGGGGATTCGGGGGGGTTGGCCGGGAGGCTGTGCACACGAGGAGGGCTCCGAGCCGGGCTCTGCCCACGGCCTACGGCCCAAACGCCCGATCAGAACCCGCCCGGGGAACGGGCGGGCCCCCCTCCGCCCGGAGACCGGCGCTGCGCTGCGACGGCGTTGCCTCCAGGCCCTCGGCCGCTGGACGACGGAGGGGACGGGCCCAGCCAACCTTCAGGTGGAGAGGCATGGGGCCTCCCGCCACACCTCGAGGGAACTTTTCAATGGATGGCCACGTGTGACCCCTACCCCTCCCCCCACGATGTCTAAGGGGGTGAGGTTTCACTCCGCTCGGGAGCTCCCGAACGAAAGGAAACCAAACCCGGTTATGAATCTTGGGGGGGGTTAGGGTTCACATGTGGCCACCGATTCAGGAGGGAGATGAGAGGGAACCATGGGGGACAGAAAGGCAAGACGAAGCCAGGACGAGAATAGAACATCGGGTGAGGATGCATTGAGAAACTCTGAGATCCACGGCTCTGGAAGATGTCTCGGGCGCCGCGGCCTTCTGAGAGCGTTCTGGAACGGGAACGCTCTGGAACGGTCCTGGCCCCGTCAGAAAGGTGCCGACGGTGCCATTCCCCAGACCTCTCCTGGCGTGCACGGTGCATTCTGACCAGGCTTTGGAAGCGAATCCAACTGTGGCGGCGAGGGCCTCCCAGGAAGCGCACCAAGGCGCAAACGAGTCAAGGGTTGCGTTATCGGTGCATCTCCTGATCGGAGGAGCGGCGCCTCCTCCTTTCCGCGTTCGGTATAAAATTGCGCCAGAATGACTGTAGCGCTCTATGACCAGAACAAGCGCTCGCATGTCAAACTACACTTCTAAAGAAGCAAGTGCGACGAACGATAACAACGTGGTGCGACAGAGTGCAATTTGAACAAAATTGGGCAACAAGAAATGGAAATACATGGAGCCCCAAAGAGGGCGTTCGAGTATGCACAAAAAATCGCCCCCCCAATCACCACCCCCAATACCACTTTCACCACTCAAGCTCCCGATCCCACCCATAGCAGAAGTCACTCACCGAAGGCAATTCGTACCCTCACCGAAGGCAAACTTACTGCTGGCATTCATCCTATCCAACCGTGCTGCTGACCTGATGCCACTCGAGTGAGACTGCTGTACAAACATATGGATGCGCTAGTAATTAGCTCGTTGATCGGTGCCGCCAAGAGTGACTGATGTGAAGCTCCACCACCACCAAACAACACCACCACGTCCTCCTCCTCCGGACTGCCCTCACAGAGGGCCCCAAGCAAGTCAAGCACAGACCTGGGTCTGCCGCAGGCGGTCCACGCGCTCAGTTGTGTTAGCGCTGGCGGACGGCGCGCTCACCACCCCCGAACGCCAAGATCATTCCACGCGTCCCATCCTTCCTCTCTGAAGGGTCCCGCAAACACACAAATAAACACACAAATAACAGGATTCCCAATATTTTCCCATATTTCCTAAGTGTTTGTCTTCCCCCCCCCCACTTCCCATATGTTTTCATATTTCCATGGGAATCGACGATTATTTGTGTCTGTGTGATTCCACCAACTCCAACCCGCAAGGGCATTTCGAGTGTCACTGCTATGCGTGAAAATGTCCATACAGAGGGCAACAATATTGGAGCCATAGTGTAACTTGTTGCTGGCACTTCGACGCCATGGCTCGCTTTCACCACATGCAAGCACCAGAAACTCCAACTCCTCAAGTCACGAATGATGCTCTCGTCGTGCAAGACAAATCTGCGATGATTTAGCGGCGTATGGGCTGTCAACGACTTCGTGCAATTCTGGCATATTCTGACTGTCAGTTATTGGACCTCATCCCAATATGGAACCTCCTCCCCTCCCCCAACTACATTTTCTGGTCGTCGACCTCGCCGACGTCAGCCCTGTAGAGAAATGTGTTGCGGCCCACGTCGCACCATGGCTGATCGGTCCCGCGCGCACGCGCGAATTAAAGACTAGGCGTTGCGTCAGAGCCGACACCCACGCACCTCCATTCCGCACATCCTCTTCCTCCTCCTTCCTCAAGCCGTTCGGCCTCGCTGGGATAGCCGGGCCTATGCCTTCCGACGTTGCCGTCCTCGCTGCAGAGCCCCCCGCCGTAGCCGCCACCCACGCACGCACGCACGCACCACACACACCACACACACACACACATGCATAGCCGCATCCGCCCCACAAGATGGGGGAGGAGACCGGAAGCGAACGAATGGAACGAAATGAAGAGAAGGGGAAAGCAGGAACATGGGAGCGCAGGTCAGAGAATGTAGACGTGCATGGTGATGAGGTACATACAGGTAATGAAATCAGCGTAGACGCAGCACCAGCGAGTTGGGTGTGGAAGTTGCCGTGCTTCTTTGCTGTCCAGGCAATCGATGCCATTGTCATGTCGGATTTGGATTCAAAACCTTCCTCGTCTGGACATCGTTCCTGCACGTATTGCTGTACAGGGATCCCCTTCGAAACCAGAGAGGAAACGAGCGTATCTTAGATGCGCCCAACAACGACCATCTTTGCGTACCCATACTCGACGGCAGCCGCAAAGCATGCATCAAGGACATTCTTGGAAATCTGGCTGTGCGTGGCACCACGCTCGACTCCATTTGTGTCCGCGTTATCTGGGAAATTTGCGCGAATGCATGAAGTGGGAGGCTGTCACGAATGAAACCAATGAGCTCGACGTGCACATCCACTTTTGAATCGGCATACCCCGGAATATCAGAGATTCGTCCTTCTGAATAGGTGCCTGAATCACTGCTTCGTCTGGTCAATATGTTGCGTACTTACGCCATCGCCTCCAATATCAACTAAATCTATCACAAATGATAAAACCGTCTTGTGCCTGATTTGAAGTTGGCCTGTGTGCTTCTGCTGGCGTATCGTCGGCTACGAAGTCCTCGTTCAGGTAGTCGTCGTCGTCGTCGGGGCGATCCGCTGGTGTGAGGTCGACGTCGCCAGGGGGGGGGCGTTGGGAAAGGAATCGTCGAGAAGGTCGTTGGGATGAGCGTCGGGTAGGGAGGGGGGGGTGGGGGGACAACACGACTGTATCATGAATGCCAACCATGATAGTTTAATGTCCACGTCGTCGGCCAAGTCTCGACGAGTACCCTATAGTTCTTTCCACTTTGTCAAACTTACATAACGGATCTGGGACATGATGGGGAAGCGCCATCTTATCCAGAAATGCCTCAGCGCATTGAATGGCGATGCGGGTAAGGGATGTGCTGGAGCGACGAAGTGAAGATGTGAGAGAAAATCTGCGCTGGGTGCGGTCTCCCTTGCAAGGACTGCCCACCCAAGGGCGACGCGCTTAGCCCTAGGCCCGCTCGGGCCCGAAGCTGACGCCTCCTCCTCCTCCTCCTCCTCCACCTCCTCATTCTCCTCCTCGTTCGCCTGGGCGTGCTCGATGGCGGCAGCCTTCTTCCTCTCAATCTCCATCAACTTGGCCTGCAACTGGCTCTCCTTCTTCAGCTGCTCCTCGTTCTCCTCCGTGCCAGGAGCGAGCACGGAACTGATCTAATCGAGTCAAGGGTCGGGCCAAATCTAATGGGGAGTATGGCGACCCCGACCCCTGACTTTGGGGGAAACGTGTATACACACATACATATACATATACACATATATATATATGTGTACATATCGATACACGTATATATACACATACATGCACGATTGGGTGTCGTCCCTCCTAGATGGAGCCCGTCCGATGAGCACCCCAAAGGGTTGTACGGTGAGGAACTTTGACTTTGCGCGTCGCGGCGGCGGCCCCGGCGACGCGCTCTGTCCCGCGAGTTGATCGCACGTCGCACCGCTCCGCAGGGCGGGAGGCGGGGAAGTGCTCGGGACGTTGACTCTTGGAAATGGCGACATGGTTAGCATGTCGCGCCGAAGCATGGTGCGCCGAAACACGCGGCGCGAAACGCTAAGCAAAATGTCCCGACCGTATCCAAGAGTTTCCACTGTTTCTTCTGAGCGGCCAGAGTCTTCGCGGGGAAACTCACTGCCTGGGAAAAACAAATCGCCCGCGAGAATCGGCTTGGAATCTAAATCCAAACACATCGGCTGCGCCCCGATGCACAACAGCGCCATCCAGACATCGGCCCACATCGGGTCGCCGAATATCGGAATCGAATTGGATCGAGCAGGCCAGCATCGATATCGAACCGGATCGATTGGATCGATATGGCTCCTGCCCACCCCTGTTACCGATGATCCACAGAAAGTATCTCCCTCCACAACACCCTGCCCTGCAGAACCCCCTTCCCGTCATCAGCCCCCTTGTAAAGGTCCCTGTCTCAGTGGACTGGCCATCTTGCCAGTAAGATTGTCCATTCCCCGATGGATGAGCTTCAGAAAGTTCCTTGTCCGCATGTCAGGCGCGTTGCTCGAAGCATGTGTGACACATTCCGCTTCGATGTACGAACCACGTGGTCAATGCTACCGTTCCCAGCCGAGCGAGGCAAATCAGTCAGAGGAAGTGTGCTAAATCTGCTTGGGCAAAGTGAAGGGATGAGCAACAGCCGCCCCGTGCGAGGCACTGTTTTCAAAGCGCGGGCCTTCTGAGTGGCAATACTCATCCCTGCGTCGGAGACGCGGCCGTCCGGGCCTGGTGTGGGGAGAACTTTGCAGGCATGCCTTGACCGATTGTGTATTGGTTTGGAATTTGATCGCCATCCTGGCGGGTGCGCGTAGGCTCACAGCGCGAAGCTGCAGGCAAGCCCGCTGATGAATCATTCTCCCCCCGTCACTCCTTCCCTCTACGGTTGGCGTTGGAAAGATAACGTGCAACATCGATCTCCGAAAAGCACGCTCTCCCTGTGAGGCGATCCCCCGCGAAGGCCTCTTCTGTGCACGCCATCCAACTGCCAAGGCTTCTTCGGTGCACGCTATCCCCAAGGTTGGGGATAGAAGGTACTAAGCGGGACGACGCCGTCACAGCGCATGCTATCTTTCCAACGCCAGCCGTAGTCACCGCCTTCTGTCCCCTGGTCGGCGGACCTCGTTATCGCAGACAGCCAAGAAATCTCCCTGGGCGGAACGCTGCAAAAGAAGCGCGCCCCCGGCTGGCGAGATGTGGCCGAGACCACCCGCCGTCTGTCCAGCCATCGCCACCCTCACTGGGCACCACTCTTGACGCATGGTCGGGAGCTTTTGCTCTGCGTGTGGCGGCGGCGGCCCTGGCGCGACGCTGTGCCCTGCAGGCGGGCAGCGTGCCGCTCCGGCCCGCGCGGCGGGAGTCTGGGAAAGACTCGGGGCGTTGATCGCTGGGGTCCTGGGGAGCGGCCAGCGTGTGCCGAGGCGCGGCGGGCCACGGGCCCCCCCAGATGGGAGTGGTCCCAGGGGTCGTCGGGCCCCCCTCCCACACTCTGGCGGGATGGGGGGGCGACAGCGACGACCACAACGACGACGACGACGACGACGGCGACGGCGACGGCGACTCGACGACGACGACGACGACGGCGACGGCGACGGCGACGGCGACGGAGACGGCGACGGAGACGGCAGAGGCAGCGGCGACGGCGACGGCAAAGGCAAAGGCGAAGGCAACGGCAGAGGCGACGGCGACGACGACAGCATAGTGACGACGACAACGACGACAGGCGACAACACTAAAAGCACCGCCCCACACCCACACGGTAAGGGTGGGGGCACCGCCACCCCCCCACCACCCCACGCCCACTGGGGGGAGGCGGGGGCCCATCGCGCGAGTGGGCGGGCCGAAAACACCAGCATGACGTGGGGCCGAATCCCGCTTCCGAAGGCCACGAAGACTTGGAAACACCTGTCGTTATCATTCTGGCCGTGAAGCCCAGAGGACCTGGCTCCTCATCCTCATCCTCCTTTGGCTGCGCGCCCAAACCCTGGGATCCTGGCGTTACAATGTTTGCGACAGGGCGTTTTCGCACAGTTTCGGGCCCCGGGGCCCCCGCACATGGATCCAGCTCGAACAGTGGCGCAAAAAGGTGGGGTCCAGGGCTCCAGCCGTGATTGTTCATGATGTGGCATTTTTGTGCTACGTCGGATCTCAGGGGGGGGGGGGGGGGCGGTTCCCCAGGCCGCCTGCGTCTGCGGGCTGGTGTCGCTTAGTGATGGGCGCGCGGCACATCGAGGGCCCAAGATCCCTGGAGAAAACGGAGAAGTTTCTGGCGCTCGGGGGCACTCAGCAGCACGCGCAAAGCCTAAAAGCTACTGATGAGATCCACAGAGGCGAGGGGGGAACACCAACACGAGGCCCACCCAGAGGAAACACTGAGCTTAACTTTCGTGGGTCGAAATCCGTAAAACTCTAAAGAATATAGTCTGGACCCTCTGAGCTGAATCGCGCTGGTCGCGCCCTCCTCGCGGCCTCCTCCTCCTCCTCCTCTTCCTCCTCCTCCTCCTCACCGGCTTCTTGTGCGGAAGCACCCGACAATAACATTCGGGCGGAGCCGCATCTCGCAGTCGAGACAATGTGGCCCGGACGCGACGGATCGACATCGGCGCCGCCGGGGGGACTCCTCCACCTGCCTCCTCCTCCCTCTGCTTTAGTCTTCGTTCCTCTGCCTACCGGGCTCGTGTCTTCTCGTCATCCTCCTTCTCCTTCCTCACCATTGTCCTCATATTGCTCTCCCTCTGGTCTTTCGGGTCCCTCCCCCCTGAGCCTCAGTCAACTCACCCCCCACCTTCATTTGTTCAGCCTGCGTTTTACGAGAGGCTCCCCGGGACTGAGACTTGAGAGAAACATTCAATGCGCGCTCGGTGCAACGACCGCACTCGTCAACTAAACAAAACGCACCTCTGGTCAAAACGTCGTGGAACGCGGCGCTGCCACGACTCGGATCTATTTTGGTCAACGGATCTGCCGGCACAAGCCCACGCGGCAACCGTCGCAACTGCGGACCAACGCTACCGAAGGGAATCCCTGACGGCGGCCATATCGACGGCATTTCTTCTGTCAGCACGCGGGCCAGCGCTATATTTGATCAACGTACCAAACACACTTTTCGCGTCGACCCCCGAAGGCGCGGAAGGAGACTCTCCCAGCTTGCAACCCCTCGACAAAATCACCGAAAACGGGCCTTGAGACGCGACCCGGTCGGGTCTGGCCACGTCGCCGAAAACGGCGCCCCGCCAGAAAATCTGAAGCCAGTGGGCCTCCCCGAGGCTGAGGGCGCTCGACAACGACGGAAGTTCGGCAGCGATGGTGCTGGCAACCGCCCTTTTCCACCTTTGCGACCTCCAGGCAAGCGGCCTGACTCGGGCCCGGCGGTTCTGGGCGGCCCCATCAGCCGCGCGCGCGAGCCAGCCCGCTTCCCCCCCCGTCTAGCACGGGCCCCCCGGCACCCGATGCCGTCGCGAGCATAGTACAAAGAGGATCGAAGCTTCCAGATCGTGATTTACTGAGAAGCCAACGCGGGCGGGAATTTCACCGCCTCGTTTGCCGTCGCAGCGTCGACAGGCTCCGGAAGGGGGGCGGCCAACGGCGCGTCGCTTCCAGCTGCGTCGGGCGGGGGTCGCGGCCTGGCGGAGCTGGCCGAACCGCGGATGGTCGAGCTCTTCTGCCCCGAGAGTCCCCGGCCTCGTCGCCGGGAGAGCCCGCCCAAAAGAATATTTCAGCAACCTGCGCCCCATCGCGACCCAAACAGTGCCGCGGGCCTGGGGCGCCCGCGCGCAGACCCATTCCCAGGCCGCTTGGTCTCGCCAACGCGCCCCCAAGCCTCAGACGCTTCCGAAAGGCGACCCCGCGCATCATGCGCGGCCAGAGCTCGCTAAGCTTCAGACCTAAACTAATGGGCCCAAGCGAAAACAATGGCGGCGCCCTGGTCAAAGGCGCCTCTCCTCAGATCATCGACCCCGATGTCGTCGACAGCGTCGTCGCTGAGCATGCCCCTGGGGCCTTGGAATTCCCCGCGATGACCATCTGGCTCGGGCTGACCCCCCCGGCGACATGTGCGATTCTTTCGGGGCACCACTTCGCAGAAGAGAAGATCCACCTCCTCTCGAGAGGCGGGGGTCGCAAACAATGAAGCTCGTGAGACGGCATTCTTGGCCGCGCCACCGCGGCGCTCGCATTCCTGTTGAAGCTGGGGGAGCTTGCCAGCATCCCCACGAGATGAACCCCGCGGCGCTCGCAGCTCCTGGAAAAATCCCCCCCGAACTCTGGCCCCCCATCGGGCAATCTAACGTCCGGCAAACGGAGCGGCCTCGGCCGCCACTTGGCAAGAGCAGCCCACGCCGTGGCGGCGCAGATGTCTGAGAGCAGACAGAATTACCGACGCCTCGCGCCGCGGCCCGCCGCGCCCCCAACTGGGGGGCCCCCGCCCTGCAGCTAAACATAAAACAAGGCCATGGCACGCGGGCGATTGAAACGATGCGCCCTGGGCAAGCGCGCCTTCCCCCTCCAGTAGGGCCGGGGGCGAGAGGCGCAAGGTGCGCGGTGAAACTGGTTTCGCACCCAATCGACGATCTCGGGCCTGGCCCCAGCGACCCGGAGAGCCCAGAGGAAA